ATTGAAACAAAGCCACAAAGACCAATTAAATATGTTGGGTATCAACATAACAGAAACATGTTTATGGTTTGACTCAACTGTTAAGTCGGCTGAACCAAGAAGCTACCGTTTTTTTAAAAAATTTGTTAAACTGCCATCTACGTACACTATTCAAAAATTATTAAAACAAGTTTCTTTTGAGACAGGGCTTAATAAAAACTATTTACAAAGAATTAGAGAACTTGTAAAATCAATGAAGCCTCCGGATAAGTGGTGTTCACTAAGTTGAGATGAAATTTCTTTAAATCAGGGTCTTGTGATAGGTCAACAAATAAATTTGTGGGGTGCGTTGATAAGGGATCATTGGGTCGAACAAACGATTTGGCAGATCACGCTTTACTTTTTATGGCTCAGGGTTTAAGGCAAAATGGAAACAACCAATTTCGTATTACTTTACAAAAAATACCATAAGTACTGCAGATTTACAAACGCTAATTAGTGAAGTAATACGAGATCTAGCAAACATAGGCCTTCATGTCAAGTGAGCAGTGTGCGACGAGGGACCTACCAATGTATCTGCATTGCGACAAAAAACTCAAAATATTTTTTTTTTATCAAAATGGAAACAAAATTTATATATTTTATGATACTCCACATTTATTAAAATCAACACGAAACGCTTTGTATAGGTATGATATTTTATATTCAGAAAATGAAACTGCAAAATTTAACCATATTCAAGAAGCTTTTGAAATAGACCAGAAAACGCGATTCCAAGCCATGAGAAAAATTCACCGTAATTATTCGTACGATTTGGAAAGTAGTCCACTTATCCAAATGAAAGTATCAATTGCAGCAAAAACCCTGCAAAACAGTTGCCGCCACTTTAGAATCTCTTTACTCAAACACAAGGTTTTTAAAAAGTGAGACCATGTTTACCGCAGAATTTGTGGCAGATATAAACAATTTATTTGACAGTTTTAATGCAGATACATTACATCGTCAAAACGGACTTCCTCTAAGATGTGCAATTACAGCGAGAAGCAAACATATGCAATTTTGGAATGAAACGGGAAAGAAAATTAGATCTTAGAAATTTTGCAAAAAAAATGACAACAGTAAATTTATTAATGTTTTTCCATTTAAAAATGGGTGACTCAATAATATTAAATCGATTAGAGAGTTGTGGCTTGATTGTCATAAAGTAGGATTTACCTTTTTAAGAACACGTGCTATCAATCAGGACTTACTTGAAAATATATTTTGCGTTATTCGACAACAAGGTGTAGGAAATGTTTATTCAAATTGCTTTCAATTTATGTGTAGCTTAAAAACTAGTTTATTAAATAATTTAGTGTCAAACAGAAGCATTGCAAAAAATTGTGAAGATGATAATATGTCGCTTTTAGAAAATTTGCAAAACTTTTTAGAAGAAAAATCGCCAAGTTTATTAAGCCCTAATGATTTTATTGCGACTCCATTTCCTGGGGAGGTACAGGAAATAGAGGAAAGTAATTTTGACAATCAAGCAACTTCTTATGTTTGTAGATTTCTGGTCAAAAATTTAAAAAATCAGGTTAACTGTGATATTTGCTACGGTTGTCTTTTTACAGAGGAATTAGAACAACATCATTCATTTGTTACTTTTAAGGAGTACGATAATATTAACAGACTAAATCATGTAACTAAACAGCTAGTCAATTACGTTAGTGACATTTAGGATAATTTTTTTTTATATTATAAATTTAAACATAAAGGCTAGTGATTTAAAGCAAAACATTATAATGTATTTAAGTAAAGAGTGTGATTTTAGTTGCTTTTCGTGCCAATTACACAACGAAGACCTTAAAAACAAATTGTTAAGGAATATTTGGTTTATTTTGATTAAAAAGTTTGTCCAAGATAATAAACATAGCACTCAGGTTGAAAAGCAGAAAAAGAAAAATCAAAATAAAAGAGGAAAGTTAGGGCTTTAAAAACCATTTTATATGTAATGATCATTTAAAAAGTTTTCGTTGAAACATATTTTTTCTGCTTATTAATTAATACTGCTTTAATTATTTTTCAATTGTACTCTTTAATAGTTTATGTAATACTTTAATTCTACATACAGTTTTTGTTATGTTATTCTTTGAATGTGACGCTATGGCACCCGGGTGCCGGCGCTGACGCATTTTTAGGGAGAGCCAGTTCAAAAACGGGGGTTTTAGTTAGAAAGAATCCGACACTACCCAGTTCTCCAGGACTTTGGGTGTCTTCGTGAAGATTT